ACAAAGAGCACAAGGTTTAGTTTTGCAGTTTTTTTCAGGTGTCAATCAAAAGTCTTTGACCCAACAGATTAAACACTGAGTGACTCCAGGTTCATCTTAGACAAAAGAGCCGTGTGTATATCTGTCCTGTCGCTGCAGAAGGTTTTTCATGGGGTTTCCAATCTGTGCCTACAGGTTGGACAGCTTTCTTTAGCAAACAGGGACTCAGGCTTAAAGATTGTTTCTTTCTTGAGTGAATATATAACTAATCCAACATTACACACTGAAACCTGAGACAGTGAAAACTCAATGTTTAAATAGGCTTGGACTAAGTTGGCTGAGATGTTTGACTTCCTGTTCCCTGAGGTGATGTCTAAAGAACCATAACACTACTTTTGGATTTATGTCAAAAGCAGAGCTGAAGAGCCGTATATGAAGACTACATGATGCACCACAGACTGCACAGCTTCATGCAGGCACCAACTGTTGGCATGTGCAGGGTAGCAGTGCGTATTAGTGGAATCAACAAGATTACAAATCCTACACCGGACTCTTAATCCATCATCAATCTGATGTTTTGCAGATTGATTTTGATTCATTGACTCCAAACCCTCCACGCGTCTGCAGACCTGGTGCAGGATTCTGTGTTTGAGCCGTGCACATGTTGGTGAGTGTTTGTAAGACTAAACTGCAGCAGCAGGAAATGAAAACAAAAAGAATTGGACAGTTAGTTTGAATGTTTCCCATGAAACCATCAACATACCATCTTCCTTGGTTCTGACTTGAGCTGCAGAGCTCTCTGGACCTGGCCCAACATCTGTGTGAGCCCTCACCCACACCAAATACTCCGTCCACTTCTCCAGGTCCTCCAAAATGTAGCTGGTGATATCAGGACCGATCCCTGACACCTGGTGGCGTTTCTGGTCCTCTCCCGTGAGTGCTTGGTAGGCCAGGGAGTAGCCAACGATCTCACCGTGCTGGCTGTCTGTGGGCGGGGCCACCCAACTCACCTCGACGCTGGTGGAACTGAGGCTGAGCAAATGTACTTCCTGGGGTGGGGCTGATGGGGCTGAAGGAAGGGGAGGAGGGAGGGTAATGGTCAGGTAGGGTGGATGATGGATGATGAAGCAACTGTCTCTCTGGACTGTGTTACAGTAAATATTAAACTGGCAGATTAATCATCCTATCAATGTTGTTGTCATTATGGTTTGTGGAAACAGTCTCCTGCTCTATGTTCAGTGTACATCTTTGTAAATATGTGATTATTTTAAATCACATTTGTCTGGAGGGGTATAACGAAACCATGAAGCCAGGCTGACAAATCAAACCACCTAAAGTGCAAAGAAGCCCCGCCCCTCCAAAAAACGACGTGCAGGGTGATTCTTTTGGGACTCGCCTGTTCAGAAAGCTGTGGTTGATAGCTGCGCTGCCACAGGCTCTGCTTGCTATGCGTCACCTGGGCTAATTGGTGCCACTGGACCCCTCAAGCATGTTTGTAGTGTCGGTGCCTCTTTCCAGCATTTTAGAGCAGAAATCGGACAAATGTTATAATTCTGTGTCCCAGTTTGGGTGAGTGAAAGTTTGTGTTATCTGTTATCTAGCACTCGAGGGGCATGTCAGTGTGTGAACTACACCGCAGGTGTTTCCTGCAGTAGTTCCACTCTGACAGAAAAGTCTTGAGCCACGTGTCATTTCCTTAGATTTTGTCAGAAAATGGGCAATTTTTGGTCTTTTTCTTCTGCTTTCTGTGCCTGAGCAGAGGTAACGTACAAATGTGATCAATGAAGTCTCATTTGATCTCTTATGACAGAGCCTCCTCCCTGCTTTACAGTTAAACACTCATCGTCATATTTCTCTCCTGGTCTTCGTTGTACATGTTGATAAAATTTATTTCAAATTTGGATCCATCGCTGCATGAGATCAGCCACAACTTAGTGTTGAAGGATTCACCACGCTGAGATAAGGATAAGCTTTGGGCTAATAGCTCTTGGGAATCACCTTATTGGTGCAAAGATACTATTTCATGCCGGTCAAACTATGTGATTTTTTTCTATTTTCAAATAAAGAAACAATAAAGATACAATTTAAACTTGGTTCTTTGCAAAGTTGTACTTTTGTCTGTATGTGTAGACAACACTGGGTGGTACCTTGGTACAGGAAATGGACCAAAAAGAAGCGACTAAAGCACCAAAGAAAACCTTTAAAGTGCTTCCGCACTACAACCTGGTTTGCCTCTTACCTGTAATTATTTTTATTTAATTTAATAACTGTACAGTACTCTCTGTTTATAGTAACCATTGTCCTTAATGTAAATATGTAAGAAAAATTGTGTATGTTTCTGTTCCGTGTCCTGTGTCCTGTTTGTTTGTATATTTGTCTTTTTGGCTGCTGTTACAACCAAATTTCCCCTTGTGGGACAATTAAAGGATTATTCTATTCTATTCTATTCTATTCTATTCTATTCTATTCTATTCTATTCTTCTAAAGAATTTCAGAAAGTCTAGAGAACTATTGCTAACGAGAAAGTCCAAACATAAAGAAACAAACGTTGGATCAAGACTTTGGGGCAGAGCTTTACACGGCACCTGTAACCAAAGCAGCTTCCTGTTTAAGCTTGGTGACAAAAGCTGATAAAACTCAGTTTTGTCTTACATGTTTAATTATATCACTTCTTGCATTAGTTGCAAACTTGCCCTCCTTTCTGGATCAGAAATGAAACTATAATAATCAAATGTAAGAATCACTAAATATTTCGATGACAGTAATAGTCCTGAATTCATCTTTAACAAGATGACTGAATATAAAAGTTAGTTTACAGTTTGGTAATATTTGCACTGCATTTTCCACAAACCATAGAGAAAACCAATCAGCAATCACATGTAAATGAAGATGATTTTAAGATGAAAAGTTATTTGTCAGGAAATATTTCTGTGATTTCATGTCCTGAAAATAACAAGTACAAATAACCTTCACAGTCCAGAGGGCAGAAACATACTGCAACACACACACACACACGCACACACACACAGGCACACACACACAGGCACACACACGCACGCACACACACACACACACGCACACGCACACACACACACACACACACGCACACACGCACACACACACACACACACACACACACAGTGTGAAGTTTCACCAACTGAAAGATAAAACAGACACACTACAGATGAATGCATGTATGCACAATGACCCACAAGAGCAGAATACAACAACACAACAACAGAAGCAGCCACTGAGATGAATGTGGAGCAGGTGGAAGAGATAACACGGGTGGCAGTTATCACGCTCGCCTGTGCCGTGGCGGCCCCAGCCGACCGTGTGCGCTCAGTTCCTGTTTGAACGGCGCTGGAAGCCTCTTCGTTCTCCTGCTGCAGGAAAGGTGCTCGCTGGTTGAAAGGAAACTTCATGCATACGAGAAGTTTTGGATGTATCACTGCAGGGGTGCAATGAATCAAAAGGCAGAGATCCATGTGTGGGAGATTAAAGTCCCAAACAGAAACACGAATATGAAAAATAGTCAAACTTCACGCAGAGGTGGGTGGCTCTGAGAGAAAGGGAATCAAGATTTGGGCAGAAAAAGAGCCGTAAGAAAAAAGAAAACACAAAAACAGAGACGCTATTGTGAGGTCTGAAAGATTACATCGCATCGATTTAATCTTTTCTGTTTTGAACATCTAAAACTGAAAAGTGATCTCAAGCCAGGGTAAAAATATTTAAGACTGTGTCTGTTTTAGTCTCTGCAAGTGGTCAAAGATGGACTTTCACTACGCTTTGGAATAAAGCCAGGAACAATGACATTCATGCGCACATGTAATCCATTTAACCTGTAATGAAAACGCTCTGGAGTCACATCCTGACACAATCTCCTTTTATGTTCCTTTTATGGTCATTTTCACCAGCTTTACCTTCTTACCCTCCTCTCAGGGCTTCCTGTGTCAGGGTCCTGTTGTGTTTTAAGTATAACCAGTCATATGTATATTCTTATTCTTATTTTTGTAATGATTAACACCCCCTTTTTCCCTCCACCCTCCCTGTCTGTCATACATTAAGCTATTTCCAAAGGAGCATAACAGAAGAGGTAAAATGAATAAAGAAGAATTATTAACAGCTAACTGCGGCTGCACCAGATCACTGAGTCACACTGAAAGCAAACGGGGTAGAAGAGGTGTTGCTTGAATTTCAGCTTCCTGTTTGCATTTGAATTATATTTACATTATATCACATTTAAAGTTCAACAAACTCACCGGTGAAAACACTTTTCTGAACTTCAATAAATGCATGATGCTTGGTAGGTTAATTATTGTAGAAAAAATGGTGCATTTAAACAAAAGTCTGCAAAAATACAAACAATCTGCGCGTGGAAACATACATTCATCTAAACCAGGGGTGTCGAACTCCAGGCCT